TTTTAATAGAAGCGACAAGTAATTACCAACGAGATTAGATCAATATACATACTCGGTCCCCCTTATACTTGAATCCTGGCTTCATCACTGGTCGCGGGCTTACGTCGTCCGAGCAAAAAAAAATGGCAGCAGTCGTAGTACGAAGTACGAAGGTTTCACGGGAGCACGCGTATAGCCCGGTTCTAGTCGCCACGTTGCGTTGCATCCTTCCATTCTCAGCATAGAACCTACGTGCACTAATTTGATTTGGCTCCGTATTTTCTTCTTGCACGCACATTCGATCAATCCGTTTCAAAGCGGGCATCGATCTTTACCGGCTCGTTGCACGCATTTAAATCGGACGTCAAGCGCATTTGGTCAAAGAACACTAAAATAATGATCTAAACAATTTTATATTAGTTTATTGAGGGAGTATTTCGCAAAGGAAAATGTTACCTATGCGCTATTCTTTTGTATATAATCAACTACTCTACCGCTTTTGCATTCGAATGGTTAAACACACGTAGTTATAGAAAAAGATGTGGCCTCTCAGACTTCATGACATGTTCAATAAAAAATGCAGCAATACCTTCTTTAATATAAAGTGCGCCCACTCGTGCGCATTCGAGAAAAAAAATGCAGCAATACCAACCTATGTAGAGTACAATAGCATTTTCGTGGAATGAATTTGACTTGAATATTTACTCCTGACTGTTGCTCAACTACATATTTGAGATCCAAATTTTTTGCAGCTGACTCATGGATGCATCTTCCACCATCCAAGCTTGTACGGATGATTTCTTTTTCATTTCAAATAGTTTCTTTTTTAAGGATCAGATCAACTGTAAAAGTTTGCAGAAGTAGAAAGCATCTCAAACATAATTAAAATTACATCGAAATTCTGAGACCATCAAACGAAGACTACTGCCACCAGAACGAGCCACCGCCACGTTGTTGTCACCACTCCCTTATCGGAGCCGGCTTGACCTCGTCGATGACAAATGAAAAGTCTTCGCGTACGTGGCCCTGAGGACAAACTTCATGGATCCACAGTCGTCGCCGTTGAATCATTGCACATATCAAAAACACCTGGCACCAAATCTTACCACCCGAGGAGCAATCTTGATTGAAAGCTCATACTTCTCAACTCGGCCCGGCTATCAATCCTGAAATTTAGAATTATCCAAAAGCCATAGGCCACACCCGTTGTCTCTCGATAGGTAAAAAATGGATGGTGGCCAAAACAATGTGCGACGTCTCTGCAAAACAAAAAGAGCTATTGAAATGGGAGGAACAGAGCCACACACCCGAAAGGGAAAAAAGAGAGTCAAAGGGAAGTCGGAGTTTTGTCATGTGTTTAGGGTCATCGCACATGCGTCGAGAGAGAGAGGGGGGAGGGGAGTCCAAAAAATAGGTAGCCCATATTGCTTATTTCATAATGCGCTTATTTTAGCCACTCCTGCTCTTTTAGGCTCACCCAAGAATTCACAGAGCTCCCTTCCCAAATCCACACGAGCAAATAGTCCCTTCCTTCCTATATTCTCTCGAAAGAAAAAAAAAAGAGTCCCACCCTTCCCGTTTGACTCTTTGACCCCGTTTTCCACTCGCGTTGCCGGCCGTTCCACGTGGCCGGTCAGCACATTCCTGAGGCGGGACCCACCACGAGAGGCCCACAGGTCAGGGCCCCGCCCCTCCCGGCACGAGTAAAACCACGGCCCCGCGCGCCATGGCCGAAATCCTCACGTGCTTTTCCCGCCATCGACACCCAGCCCCGCACGCAAGATCTCGCGCCGAACCTGGCATTGGCACTCCCCCGCGCGCCATAAATACAAATCCTCCACCCGCCATCCCGCAACAGCAACACATTCGTATCCACGCATCGATCAGCGCGCGCGCGCGCACGCACGGACTTCGACAATCGTCGTCGGCTTCCGAGCGAGACCGACCGGCCAATCTTCCAAGAAAACGCCGGGGGGGATGAGGGAGGAAGGGTTGGGGAGGATGGCGGAGGACGCGCCCGGCACCAGCGGCCGGCCGCGGCGGCTGAAGCGCGTCCGCACGCTCGGCCGCGGCGCGTCCGGCGCCGTCGTGTCGCTCTTCGCCGCCGGCGACGGCGACGGCGACGAGCTGCTCGCGGTCAAGTCGGCCGGGGCCGCCGACGCGCAGGCGCTGCTGCGGCGGGAGGGCGGCATCCTGGCCTCCCTCTGCTCGCCCTACGTGCTCCCCTGCCTCGGCTCCCGCGCCGCGGCCGGCGGGGAGTACCAGCTGTTTCTCGAGTTCGCGCCCGGCGGCTCGCTCGCGGACGAGGTGGAGCGGAACGGCGGCTGCCTCGAGGAAGGCGCCGTCCGCGCCTACGCGGCCGACGTGGCCAGGGGCCTCGCCTACCTCCACGGGGAGTCCATGGTCCACGGCGACGTCAAGGGCCGGAACGTGGTCATCGGCGCCGACGGCTGGGCCAAGCTCGCGGACTTCGGGTGCGCCCGGAGCGTGGGCTCGGCGGGCCCGATAGGGGGCACGCCGGCGTTCATGGCGCCCGAGGTGGCGCGCGGGGAGGAGCAGGGCCCGGCCGCCGACGTCTGGGCCCTGGGCTGCACTGTCATCGAGATGGCCACCGGCCGCGCCCCCTGGAGCCACATGGACGACGTGTTCGCGGCGGTGCGCCTGATCGGGTACACGGACGCCGTGCCGGAGGCGCCCGAGCGGCTGTCGTCGGAGGCCAAGGACTTCCTTGACAAGTGCCTCAGGCGGTGCGCCGGCGAGCGGTGGACGGCGGAGCAGCTGCTGGAGCACCCGTTCCTGGCGTTCGCCGGCTGCGGTGCGGACGTCGAGTCGGCTGAGCTGAAGGGCAAGTGGGTTTCCCCCAAGAGCACATTGGACGCCGCAATGTGGGAATCCGACGCCGACGAGGATGAGAACGTGCCCGATGATGACACGGCCGAGAGGATGAGGGCATTGGCGGCCTTCTGCTCGGTCTTGCCTGACTGGGAGTCCGACGACGGCTGGATCGATGTACTGAGCTGCCAATCTGAGACGCCGGCCGAGCAGTCCTGCAGTGAAGCTCCCGATTCGCCGGCGGCCATGCCGGCTGAGGAGGCGAGGTCCGATGTATATATTTGGGATGATGACAGAGTAGAAGCAGAATTAGGAGTAGAAGAAGTTGGAGTCTTCGTTGGTGCTGCCGTGCCGGCGGCCGCGGCGCCGCCGGAAGAGACGGCCTACCATCACGGTGAAGGCTTCCGGGACGGAGGATCGTCGTTCGTACTGGAAGCAGAGTTTGACGCCGAGGCTTTCGACGCCGGCGGCGAGCTCGTTGTGCATAATGTAGGAGTAGCCGATGAAGCTTTAGAGAATCAGCAGCAGCAGGAGGGTGGAAATGTACATTCGCCGGATCCGATCGCTTGCGATCCTCCGGCTGTAGTTAGTGTGGATAGCTGTGACAGAAAAATACTACCAGTAAAGTCGTTGAAGATGCCAAATTTGCTCTATTTCTCGCTCCGCTTTCCTCTGTTCCTTCACCTTCCTTTCGCATTTTTACACGCCACGATCAGATCAGATCTCCCAACGTACATCACAAGATCACCTGGACTCGACACGGCGTTGAGCAGATGAGCAGAACGTACCACAAACTTTATCTCGTAACTGCACCTGCCTTCCAGCATCTGTTGGAGTTGAGACCAATGTGCTGGTCGACCCACCGGAGCGAACGCATGAAAACGACGGCGTCTCATCCGTTTCCATTGCCGACAACTCAGAAGCCCAATTCAACCGCACCCCATCTACCCGATGGATGGATCGTGCACGCGTTGCTTAAACTGGAAGCGACGGCGAGCGAGAAAAGGGCCCCGTAATCCCGTGGCGACCCTTGGCAATCGCTGACAAATGTGGCAAGCAGCCGGGCAGAGCAGAGGCACCTACGTGTGTGCTCTGCAGCCTCCGATCAGCTCCGTTGCATTGCAGAAACAGCTGGTCTGGCCAGCTTTGGTGAGCGGATCGTCCAAGTGGCAGGCAGGGGCGACTGTGCAGTTGGGCAGCCGCGCACGCCGTCCGGCAGCTCCAGCTAGGGCTGGCCAAGGTTGTTGGCAGGAAAGCACCATCGGTTGGGCGCACGGTTCAGTGCAGGTGGTTATTATCCATGACGCTCGTCCAAATCCGCCGGGTTACATCAGCGCCAGAATAGATAGATAGATAGACACACATGCTTACACTAGATGTTCGCCTAGATATTTTTACATAGTATATCTGGCTCTGGGAAGTTTCTACAGGGATCCAGGTTTGGGCGGAATGTTCAGCTGCATCCTGAATAATGTGGGCGCCTAACTAACTGAATATCGCGTCGGGCAGGGCAACGGCAGCGCAGGCACGCGGCATCCAGGGCCAAGGCCAGCGTAGCTCTGGTGTGATGTTTGTTCGGTAAGATATACTGTAGGTAGTATGATCTACTAGTATCTGCAAAATATCTAGTGGTGTAAGGGCAGAATGTCTAGTGGTGTTTGGGGGGAGAAAATACCCTCCACTCCTTAGAGCGACTTCAACCATCTCTTCTAAATTTGCCTCTCTAAACATCATTCCAGGACTCTCTACATTGGTGACCTTTTTTTTTTGTGTCATGAGATGGTTGGTGCGGATATGATCATTGATACAGTTTGCAGACAGTGAATTTGATCACTCTATTTTTTCCATCATCTACACATAGCTTTAGTCTTATATGAATTTGCTATTTGCTGGCGTGTTCTTATGTGCGTGCGTAAGTGTTGGATACGTGCATCCTACTTATGCAGAAGCCAAGCGTGCTCATTATGTTTGTATCCTCTTGATGCTCCATTTTAAGCTAATAAAATTCACTCTTAGTCGAAAAACACCCCCCCTTCCTTAAACCTCTAACTTATTTTTTCAATTCTCTTTTTGCATAACAAACAGAAAATAACATGGCCTGAACAGTGAGGAGGGCCAGGATTGTGGCGAAAGGCGCCAACAAACATATGAAAGGGGCGGTGTCGGTGTCAAAACCGGCGGACCTCGGGTAGGGGGTCCCGAGCTGTGTATCTAGAATCAATGGGGAACAAGGGGCGATGAACACGGTGTTTACCCAGGTCCGGACCCTTTGGAAGAGGTAAAACCCTACGTCCTGCTTGATTGTATTTGATGTGTATGATATGGTTACAGAGTTGATCTACCTCGAGATCACGCGAGCTAAACCCTAGGTTGATGGGGTAATAGATGTTGCTCTAGCCCTAAAGACTAAAACCCACTGGTTTATATAGGTACCAGTAGGGTTAGAGTTACATGCGATCGGTTACAACAAAGGAAAGATCACGCTATTCTTGACTTGGAGGGCACACCACGACTTCGAAGATCTTCTGTCCGGTCACGGGTCCACGCCCTAGTTCGACTTCATAGTAGCCCATCAGTCCGGCCCACAAGCAATGGGCCGGCGTCCCGAGGACCCCTTAGTCCATGACTCCCTCAGTAGTCCCCGAACTAGTCTCCAACGTCGGGGAATGCCATCTGGCGTCTTCAAATCTTTGGCTTGCAAGGTGAGTTCTTCACCTTTTCCATACCGTTCAGAGCAGTGTTCTTATGCTGAATACTATCCGAAATTCGGATCAGCGTTGAAAGCTCGCCAACAAATCACGGCCCGTGCTCATTCCGCACTCGTGCTTGACCGACTTTGACAATCCGGAGTCCGAAGACTGTTGGGGAACGTAGTATTTCAAAATTTTCCTACGATCATGCAAGATCTATCTAGGAGAAGCATAGCAACGAGCGGGGAAGACTGTGTCTATGTACCCTCGTAGACCAAAAGCGGAAGCGTTTAGTAACGCGGTTGATGTAGTCGAACGTCTTCATGATCCAACCGATCAAGTACCGAACACACGACACCTCCGCGATCTGCACACGTTCAGCTCGACGACGTCCCTCGTACTCTTGATCCAGCTGAGGCCGAGGGTGAGTTCCATCAGCACGACGGCATGTTGACAGTGATGATAAAGTTACCGATGCATGGCTTCGCCTAAGCACTACAACGATATGACCAGGTGTATATCTGTGGAGGGGGGCACCGCACACGGCTAAAAGATCAACTTCTATGTCTATGGGGTGCCCCCTCCCCCGTATATAAAGGAGGGGAGGAGGAGGAGGAGGGCCAGCCACAAGGGGCGCGCCCAAGGGTAGGTTCCCCCCTTTCCTAGTAGGAGTAGGTTCCCCCCTTTCCTAGTCCTAGTAGGAGAAGAAGGAAGGAGAGGAAGAAGAGAAGGAAAGCCCCCCCCCCAACCCTAACCCAATTCGGATTGGGCTTGGGGGGCGCGCGCCTCCACCTGGCCGCTGCCTCCTCTCTTCCACTAGGGCCCATGAAGGCCCATTAACCTCCCGGGGGGTTCCGGTAACCCCTCGGTACTCCGGAAAATGCCCGAACCTATCTGAAACCTTTCTGCTGTCCAAACATAACCTTCCAATATATCAATTTTTATGTCTCGACCATTTCGAGACCCCTCATCATGTCTGTGATCTCATCCGGGACTCCGAACAAACTTCGGTTCATCAAAACACGAAACTCATAATACAAATCGTCATCGAACGTTAAGCGTGCGGACCCTACGGGTTCGAGAACTATGTAGACATGACCAAGACACATCTCCAGTCAATAACCAATAGTGGAACCTAGATGCTCATATTGGCTCCTACATATTCTACGAAGATCTTTATTGGTCAAACCGCATAACAACATACGTTGTTCCCTTTGTCATCGGTATGTTACTTGCCCGAGATTCGATCGTCGGTATCATCATACCTAGTTCAATTTCGTCACCGACAAGTCTCTTTACTCGTTCCGTAATGCATCACCCCATGACTAGCTCATTAGTCACATTGCTTGCAAGTCTCATAGTGATGTGCATTACCGAGAGGGCCCAGAGACACCTCTCCGATATACGGAGTGACAAATCCTAATCTCATTCTATGCCAACTCAACAAACACCATCGGAGACACCTATAGAGCATCTTTATAATCACCAGTTATGTTGTGACGTTTGATAGCACACAAGGTGTTCCTCCGGTATTCGGGAGTTGCATAATCTCGTAGTCATAGGAACATGTATGAGTCATGAAGAAAGTAAAAGCAGAAAAACTAAACGATCATTATGCTAAGCTAACGGATGGGTCTTGTCCATCACATCATTCTCTAATGATGTGATCCCGTTCATCAAATGAAAACACATGTTTATGGCCAGGAAACTTAACCATCTTTGATTAACGAGCTAGTCAAGTAGAGGCATACTAGGGACACTCTGTTTGTCTATGTATTCACACATTTACTAAGTTTTCGGTTAATAAAATTCTAGCATGAATAATAAACATTTATCATGATATAAGGAAATATAAATAACAATTTTGTTATTGCCTCTAGGGCATATTTCCTTCAAAGACATCTTTGGGTCACGGTGGGACCATCAGAGTTTAATGCTTACCTCGGAGCAAGGGCCAACTTTGACCGTCGCAGACCTTTTTAGAAGGCGTGCGACCCAATGCCCCATTTTCACAAGCCCGTCCTTTCAGCTCTAGGCCAAGACGCTTATTTATAGATCCAAAGGTAAGGGGGACGGTTAACCCATCCCCTTCGCAAAAAACAGTTTCGAAGAAATTGGTAGGCACCATGGCTGACATTCCCGGTTCATCCTCGCGCCCTCATGGCCCTCTCCCCGGTGATTGGACGAGTTGTTCAGTCTCGCGCCTCCAGCTGAGCAATATGAAGATACAGGGCTACCTTCCCGCGGCAGATCTAGTTTTTGTCAGTGCTGGATTAATTTCTGTCGATGATCAAGCACCATGAATCTATGGAGGAAATATTTTTGTCTCATTCCCCATACCCGGAGGGGATCCATATTCGAAGTAGGCGGAGTCGAAGTGTGGCGGATAGCCAGGACAGGGTATCCCATTGGAACCCCATGAAAAGATCCCAAGGAGTGGACCTCGGAGTGGTTTTATATTGAAGACGTTCCCTCTCCGACCCAACCCGGAGAGGGCTGCCCGAATACTCAAGCACCCCGCTAAAGAAGTGATTCAACTCGCGGCCCAAGGGCCCCTCCCAAACGGATAGTGAAGAGGTGCGCATGCTGGCCACCAAAATCAGGCTGCTGACCCATAGCAAACCGACCATGGTTGAAGTGATGGCCATCGCCATAGCCCGATGCATACAACCCCTTCAACATAGGGGGCATCCTTTATGGTGTTACAACGGGACCAGTGACGCAACCCGCTACAAGTGATGAGGGTCGGATAATAAGGCGGCTGTGGCCAGAATACTAGCCGACATCTTCAAAGGGGAGGAGGAGGATTTCGCCCAAATGAGTATCTGGGAGGGTCACTCGGCTACAATTCGGCAGTCTGGGTAAGCCGCCATCCATTGTCTTTAGTTCAGGGATTATGTCTGAACTCTTATTGGATGTACCTTTTTTCTCAAACAGGGGTGGAGGCATCAGGTCGAGTCCGTCAGCTGCCCCTTCCCCAACCAGAGAATCATTCCTGTGAAGATGACCCGGGGTACCATGACTACCCGGAGACGTCGATCGTTTTTGAAGATGGGGTCTTCTACTAGGAAAGCCTTGACGGCACCA